GGAAGCATAAGAGTTCCTCCCCAGATAGCCCAAAGGATGGCTTCCAGTCACCAGTGGGAATCATGGTCAAAGCACTTCCCCTGCCCTAACTCTTTTTTATGGTTTCCATAAACAAAGGCTAAACTGCAGTCCCCCGGGGGCCACTAATAAGGGGGAAGCAGGGAAAAGGGAAACCGAACCATAGAAACCCAATGTTCCCAGTGATTGTAAGGGAAAAAATTCTCTCCTAAAACTAGTGTTTTCTATACTGTCAATGTGTCCAGCACCACGTGGATCAGGCTGCAGAGATACCAAACCTCTCAGGCTCTTACCTTCTCTACATGGGCTCAGTCTTCTAGCAAAATGGGTAGGGGTATAACAAGGGACTTGGAGGGAGATTGAGGGTCAGTTCACAGTGAGCTGCTTAGAAAGCGAGTGGCTCAGGTTCCTCTACTATAAGGCACACCAACCCATTCACAGAACTCTTGGTTCACCACTTTGGCTAATGAAGTCATACAAGCAATTCCCTCTCACACTCCAGTTCTCCTGTATCACCACCCACAACACTCCTGAAATGGATGAAACTAGATTATGAACACCAATCATCACAAAAAAATTCTTCTGATACCAAAGGACCAGCTGTGTTCCCAGGTCAATTTAGAACTCCTCTCTTGTACAAAAATCATGCCATGACCATCATTTAGAATCTAAGGCTATGTCTACACTTGCGGCATCTTGCGCAATAAATATGAAAATTAGGCCAAGCCTCATTTGCATACCTAATGAGCTGCCATTTTTGCATAAGAGGCTCTTGTGCCAGGAGCTGTCTACACTGCCCCTTCTTGTGCAAGAAAACCCCTCTTATGCAATGCTGTTACTCCTGAAAATAATCAGCGTAGCTGCATTGCGCAAGAGGGTTTTTCTTGCATAAGAAGGGGCAGTGTAGATAGCTCCTTCTGGCACAAGAGCCTCTTCTGCAAAAATTGTGGCTCATTAGATATGCAAATGAGGCTTGGCAATATTCCATGCTTAGCCTCATTTGCATATTTCACACAAGAAGCTGTGAGTATAGACATAGCCTAAAGGGTTATAGGACACAAAGAAAGGATGAATGTTAAAATCGTTAAAGAATCAAATCATACAATTGAAGAGTTCTTGGTTAAGCCTTGTAGCAGTGATGCCAGCTTAAACCTTGTTTTGGGTATGGCCACCGCTTGGCTGGATCATTCTGTTCTTTGTTTACAGGAAGAGTGAGAAACCTGTGGTCTGTGGCTTGCCTTATTGGGAGATGCTTCCCACCCACTCACCAGTGGTGCAGCTGGGGGGTGAGCACCAGTTCCCCACTTTGAGGTGGGGGCAGAGGGGAGATTCCAAGCCACCTGGGCCTGATCTTGGCAAGTTGCAGGCCACATTCAGCCTGGGCGCTCCACCTAGCAAGGGGAGCACGTGGCTCTGGGTGCTACAGAGAGCACAGCATGCAGAGTCAGATAGGCACCCCCATCTCCTACTCCCTCCCAGACTTCACACTGTACTTGCATCCACCCTCCCAGACTTCACACCCACCCTCACTCTCCTCTGGACTCTGCACTCCCACCTCTTACATTCTGCCCAGATCCTGCACCTCTATCAACTCCCCAGCAGCACCCTCCACCACACTCAGTCCCTCATTTTAGAGCCCACAAAAAAATCTAACCTCCTCTGCCCAGGGCTGGTGCTTCATGGAAGGGAGGTGTCTTTTTTCATACTTTGGAGCTGAGGGCTTTTCTTCTGCCCAGGGCTGGTGCTTCATGGAAGGAAGGTGTCTTTTTTCATACTTCAGAGCTGAGGGCCACATCTGAGAGGGCTTTTTTGGGGGGAGGGAGGGGAAGAGGTATTGTCAGGTCAGTGATGGTGGGTTTTTTTTGCTTGGTTGTGCTCCTTGATTTTTCTAAGGGTCATAGGCTGCTGACTCAACAGGCTCCCCCACCTCTGCTTTACAGCTTCAGTTTGCAGCAATAATCCTTCAGTGATAAGGATTTAAAACAAAATAGAGACCTTCCCCGAGGCTTGCCCTGTGGAAGGAATCCCATTGTTCTTCTAGAACAGTTTAGCAACAAGTAGGCTACGTCTACACTGGCGTGAGCTTGTGCAAAAACTCTTTAGCACAAGAGTTCTATGCAGTGTAGACACAGCGGTAGTGTTTTGTGTCACAGAGGCAGGCCCCATTCCCTGTGTGACTACAGGTAGAAACCATTTCTCCCATTTTAGCCCTATGTTTGCAGAAATGCTCATTAGGCCTGGATTGGTATTTCCCACAGCCTATTTGTCAGTCTAGTACTTTCATTTAACCTGAATGCACCCTTCACCATGCACTGGCCAGAACTTCTAACAGTGGTTGTAATATCATCCATTCATTATTTCAAGTGCCAGACTGCAAGAAAAGATTTCTCCCTGTACTCACCTAGATGGGCCTGAATTTTCCACAAGTAGTAAAGTCCTACAGTTAAGCCACACCAAATCTGTGATTTACCCTATCCTGACCACTGTGATGACATGTAAGTCACCACCTCCCCAGGCCAATAAGCTGGGGAGTGCTGCAACAAAGCCTTGTGATGTCACCCAGCCCTGTGCTGCAGGGCCCTGTCCTTCCCTGGCCAGCCCTTTTGAAGGGATCAAACAGGCTCCACATGGAAACATGGCAAGCTACTGATTGTGCCACTTAGTTTTACAGTTAAACCCAGTTAGCAGCCCTTCCTTTGGGAAGGGAGAGTAGCTGTGGCACCTGTGACCCACTTTGAAGGACAGTAGGAGAGCAATATGCCTCTACCCTCCATTAAGTGTCAGCAGCAGCTGCATTGCTAAAAATTAATGATAGGTGTGTTCATGTGCACTTGTGGGTGACAACTGCCAGCCTTATATTAAGTGCTGCAGTTACTTAGGCTGCATTTCTGGCACAGAATCATGGAAGTGTAAAAATAGTAGAGCAGTGGTCTCCACCCTTTAAGTTTCAGATAAATTAAAAAAAGTGAAGTGCAATCGAAGATCTACCTCAAACTCAAATACCCTGGCCCTGCCTCCTCTGTGACCCCGCCCCTGCTCCGTCCATTCTCTCATCCTCCCTCACTTTCACCAGGCAGGGGCAATGGGTTAGGGATGCAAGCTGTGGTCTTGGATTAAGGGATTTGGAATGTGAGGGGCTCTGAGCTGAGCATGGGGCAGGCAGTTGGGGTTATCAGAGGGGGTTCTAGGTGTAGGCTCTGGGAGGGTGTTTAGATGCAGGGGTGCTTGGGGCTGGGGGAGGAGCCGGGAGTTTATGACTGGGGTAGGGTTTCAGGATGTGGGCTCGATTGGACACTCCTTACCTCAGGTGGCTCCTGGGTGGGGATGCAGTGAGGCTAAAGCAGGCTCCTCCCTGCCCTGACCCTGCACCACTCCTAAAAGCAGCCAGAAAACTCCATCCCAAGTCCTGCTGTGCCCCCTCTCTGCTCTGTGGAGATAGGACACAGGGTTGGAAAGGGGCCCCTTGACATCAGCACCCCCTCTTCTCCCTTCCCTGCCCAGCAGTGTGGGAGGGGCAGTTGAAATGCCAGCACTTAATAGCCTCTTTGCCAAATCAGTAAAGATCACCTGTCAGAGGCTCCAAGATCTATCAGATTCCGATCTACTGGTTGGTGACCACTGTAGTAGGGACTGAGTGGTGCAATCTACACCCAAGTAATAACTGGACCATTCCTGACAGCTGTTTCACATGTTAAGGCTCTAGTGACAGTTTATGAACTTCGTAAGCCATTTTCCTTCTAGCAAAATGGAGATTATACCTTAAGCTGCCAGTCTACATCACACTTTATATTCAACCTCTGCAGAACATGAAATTACAATTAATTTTGCTAATGTACAATTGCTGTCCCAGTGATCTAAATACCCTGAAGCAAACAGCTTGACTTTGAGAAGGAACCTTAGAATAAACTAGACATAAGGGAGAAAGCTATTTCCAGGAAAATGCTGTAAGTTTATGTAGAGCAAGACAACTCATTATACGAAGTTGGACCTGTGAAAGTCCATTCTAAAGCCTTTTCCTCAACACAACTTGCTTCACTTTCAAAAGGGCTGGATTAGAAAGCTTTTAGCCTCAGACTACCATGAGTCCAGTTAGAAACTTACCTAAGACCACATTTAAGATGTAAATGCAGTAAGTCTTTAAGCTACAATGTGTTTTGCAATGAATTAGTGCTACAGTGAACTACTCTCAGCTGGATTAATGTTAAATTTTCCTCAGTGTTGCTTGATCAATGTATCTTCTGTTCCATTCCAACATGAGGCATTCAAACCACGTTTTTCCTCACCAATTATTCAGAGCTAATATGGTGGAACACATTTGTCTAACAAGTAACGAGTGGGTCAGCTTTTTACAACAGAACATTTTTACAAATGAACACTGCAGGAAAAAATGGGGAGTTAAAATGGGTCTCAGTTTCATTAACATCCCATTTTACAACTTACATTCCTGTGTGTGTGATTCAAAGCTTCATATTAAAATACACAACTTATTTTGAAAAGTCATCTTCATTAATATATGGAAGATGCAGCATCTTTAGTTCAAGCTAATAGTTCTTCCCCCAGCTCAGCAAGTTGCTGCTTGAGCTAAGTCCACACAAATCAGCTCTTATCTACAAACTCAAATCAAATTGGATCCCATCTGCAGAGTTAGCTCCTGGCAGGACCCCCACCTCCATGTTTACCTCCACAAGTATTGGAGGATCACTGCTCACACTGGCTGGGAATTGCCATCTGCAACACTTCCCACTGCTTGCATTAACTGTGAACAGCATTTCACAGCCAATGAAAGCTGCGATTCTCCAAAATCTGAGGAGATGTAGGTATATATGCAGGGACTAACCTGTAAGCAATTTTTTTTAACTGCACACAGCTGCCTTACTCAATACTAGATCAACAATAAAGGAAGGTAGCAGATAGGCCAAATGCTTCATTTTAAAGAACTCATTTCACATTTTAGTGCCTACACTGAATAAGAGACACCACAGTTTGCACACAGTAATTTATTGAATGATTCTCATTTATTCACAAATAAATTTCAGGATCATAGTTCAGGGCTCACAACATTCAACTGAACCAAGTCCATATAGCAGCAATTCATCCTGAAGTTTCCTGTCAACTGGAAGTTGACTCATTCTATTAAATCCTCCAAAATATGAGGTTTAAAAAAAATGTGATGGGTAGCATCCAGTGAAGAGATGCAATCTCAAGACATTCAGATTGTCCATGGCTTAGGGAGGTGTCTCAGACCTAAAAAATTAAGCATATATTCTTCAGGAAACATTGCTGAGTTTGGTGATCTAACAGGCAGAAGATACCAAGTTAGTATTCTAATTAGTCATGTCAGCTATTATACACTATTAACCATGTAAGACTTAAGTTACACTTACTTCCTATAATAAAGCATTACATTTATTAGTCTGGGAGCATGCTTAATTCCAGACAAGTTAGTGACAGGTAAACGAGGCATCCTTTGAGTCCTAAATCTATACAATAGAATTTAAATTCTGTCACCCTCTGCAGTGTTGCAGGGAAGACTCATCAAGTCTATCCAGTGCAGCTGGTTGGTGAAAATACTCATGGAATCAGAAATGGACTAAATACAGTAAAACTCCATTGGTCCGGCATCCAATGCTCCGGCACTCCTGATGGTCCGGCACCATCAGGAACCCAGAAGTCTTGGGACAGCCGGACAATTGGAGCTGCTCTGATTCAGCGGCTGCTGAAACTGACCAGTAGCTAACTCAGGGACGCCTGCGGCAAAGCAGCCGGGGTGCTGCTGGGTTGGTCCTACAGCACGGAGGGGCGGTTCTACGGCAGCTGCTGAATCGGGGACGCCTGGGGCGGAGCCGGACTATTGGAAGGGGGGCTATGAGGGATCTGGGGTGGCACGGCCCCCAACCCACCCCAGACCCATCATAGCTCCCCCTTCTGATAGTCCGGCATATCTGATGATCCAGCACCCCCCTGGGTCCTAAAGGTGCCAGATTATCGGAAGTTTACTGTAGGTTGAATGAACACTGTTAGTGGGAGAATATATGTGAAACACTCCAGACAAAATAAGCCAGTAGTGGTAAATAAGATTTTGGGGTCCATTCAAGAGCATCTGATTTGGTCTGCACTCAGCCTATTGAGTGGCTGTGATTTAAAAGTTGACCCGCTCTTAAAAAGCAACTGTAGGTAGTGGTGTATCAAGCATGAAGGAATATTATATGCCTAAGTGACGGCTGTTTAAGAAGGCTAATTCTGATGGCAAGCTATGTAAAACTGTGATAGAAGACAAGGGAGGACAAGTACGGAAACTCTTCTTGAATAAAGGATGGCTCAATATAGCTTACTCAAGAAGTCACTACAGCCCCGGTGCTGGAAGTAGGGAGGTCAAATTACGAGATATATTCTTTCCCAGTGCCTCACCATGGTGCTACTACATGTTTGAGGTTCCCACAATCAATGATTAGTGGATATTTGAAACCTCACCATCTACACGTTTTCATACAAATCTGCTTTTGCTTCAGTGAAAGTATATGGCTAGGTTACCCAGAGCTGGCTTTTGGTTGAGAGATCAGCCACTGAAAATGCAAAGTATGTGAAATAAGTTAATCCAGGTGAGCTTCCAAGGTTTTTAGGTTCCACAGATTGCTCCAAAAACAGGATGCGCAGCTGGGACTTAAAGACAAAAGGGCCAACTGAAGTAATGTACACCAGAAGCCACTTTCCATTATATTTTAAAGTTTGTTTAAACTGTTTCTTCCAGTTCTGAAGACAGAAACTTGGTTGAAGAAATTCAGTTCTGAAACTAGCACAAATATTTTCCCATGAATTGGCAGTCACATTGGATCTATAATGTTGAAGTGGAAGAGGAAGGGGTGTGCCACTAAATCAATAGCCTGGCTACATTACTTATATCTCCTCAGGAATAGGCCACAGAGCACACTGAGTGCTTGTGGCATCCTGCAGAGGATTTCAATATTAGGTCATTGCGTTAAGAGCTGCTGGTTTCACAGCCATGCAAACCCTCTTTGAAATGACCTTAAGCATAGACCTACTGTTGGTTATCAGAATTGCTGACATGCATTATTACCTCTGCAATATAGCTCAAGAGTTTTCCATATCCAAGTCACTTCCTGGTCTTCATTTGGAATGTGTGTCAGTGACTGTCAGACACTAAGGGTTTAAAGAGTTGACAATTTGGTTAGTATAAAGTAATAGAATACAGCTAAGGGAGAGATGCCTTAATATAAACGGCGGGAGGGTGGGCGGCAACAACACTACTCAGAGGCAGTTTTCTTCAGTTACATTTAAATGCAAGAGTCCTGGGATAAACTGCTCTTCAGATGACTGAGGAGCTTCAGATAAAGATCTGTTTTTACTTCATTAGAAATATTCCATAGTCAGGGATTTTTGTCTGAAAGATGGTTTTAAGCTCATTTAGATAAGCTTCTGCTGCAATCTGACTATTCTGAACAGAACAAACCTAAATAAAAAAAGATTCGCCAAGTATTTACACAAAACAGGAATTGTGATTTGAAAGTGCTCTTTGATCTCATATTGTTTCCAACAGATTTAGTGCCACGAAAGTAGCTGTGCCAAAATCTGATGGAGTTACTTTATGGTCATGTCCACAGCACACCAGAAATGGCATTTCCTAGTATCCTTGGTAATGACCACTGATTAAACCAGATTCCTAAGTAATACTTGAGCATTTAAAACATGTGGCAGAAAAGGCAAGAGTTGTCACACAATGGTGTAGATAGCACCTTAAATCTCTAAAAATGAAGCTAAGCCCAGATGTGTACCAGAACAGCCATCCTGCAGACACCAGTTTTTTATTTAATCTTCACAGTTAGAGGCACTAATTAAACAACACATATGTAAGAATTATTCTAAATTTCAGATATAGGTAACAATCCAAAATTATGTGATTATTTTGCCCAATTAGAGGACTGGCTTTTGTCTTTGATGCTTAGAGCACACCATAGCAGAATTTCTATTTTATTCTAGCCCTTTGATTGCAGTTTCTGCACATCAGACAGTCTCAAAATCTGTTGCGTTTTGAGTTTTCATACTGAATTGTATCCAATTATATACTTTCCAAATTGAAAGTTAAGTATTTCAGCTGTTTTAAATCTATTACCTGCCAAACGAGTTGGTGTCATGATACTGTCTTTCCAACTACTCTTTCGTCACAATGAAATGTGGTCTGCATAGTAGAATTAAGTCCCCTTTAAAAAGAAAAACAGTTAATGGTACATTTACTGACCAGCTGAAGAGGGCTGTTATATTGTATGGAAGCTAAACGTGGATAAATTCTATTCCTAAGCATAACTCAAGTTTGTGTCAACAGTAATACCAGGTTTCACAAGCACACAGCAGCATGAAAACCAACGATGCCAAATGCTGAATTGCTATAGCACTGTGTTTTGAACATCCCATCAGAAGAGTGCTGTTGGATGCAGATACCTTGCAGTGCAGTTACAGTAGTATTTGTAACAACAACTTCTATGAATTATAATAGAAGTAGTTAGACACCAACTAAAACTAGCTATTGTTAAGTCACTACAATCTGCAGTGGTTCTGAGACAAGATCCCTGGATTCTGCAACACTCCAGCACAAGGAACTGGAACTTCTGTAGCAACTGTTTCCGATTCAATGAAAATACATGTTACTTGACATGGATTTCATGCTTCCTCCACTCTATTTTCAATATGTTGTATATTTTTTATCTTGGTGTTTACCACACTTCAGAAGATGAGGGTTTGGGCAGTGGTCATAGAAAGTTAAGTCTGAAATACTCATTCTGCTAACGTTTAGTAAACTCATTAATGTTGCTTATTTTCATTTCTGAATTAGCAGCCCAGGAAATTGACACCTCAAAACTATGGTTTCAAATTGTCTGACAATGTAGATATGTCTCGTCTTTGCAACCATGAAAGTTAGAAACCATTTTTAGAAGAACACTCAAGTTTCACCAGCAAAGCCTGGGTGAAGAATTGATTTCACAGTTTCTGAAGCTGCAGTAAGAGAACATAAGAACCTAGTTTTAGTTTCAGCTACAGGGGAAACTGAAATTAACTTGCTGAATCTCATAAAGTCCAAGCACAGCACAAGTCACTCACTAAATCATACCCAGCAATTTTCCCGTTCTGACAAGGTTTTCAATCCATGTTGAGCGTTAGATAAGCTAGTGCCTACAGGACAGAAAATGTTTTGCTTAGTGTCGAAGCATAGAAAGTTACATACATACATACACATACAATTAAAATCTGTCTTGCAGTTTTATCCCAAAGAGCTAACAAATAGTTCAATGGGTAAAGCGAAACCACAGGTTTGCTCTATGAGGCATTTCCAACGATATGAACCTATAGGACAGGCTCCATCGGGATAGACCTCAACAGTTGTATTGTAATAAATATTGGATCCTTTCCCACTACAGCTTCTGCAATTATCCATATAGGACAAACTTTGCTAGTATAAGATATCCTGAAGAGCAACTTCAACAGAAAGGCCTCCTTCCATTTCTGATCTTTTCCCGTCATTTGATATAAAGTCTTCATCTAAGTCTACACAGCACCCAAAACTTCACTCATGTGCAGAGAAAGCACTCAAACTAAGCATTCATTCTATCACCAAATTAAACTACTTCTTACTAAGATTGAAATGCGTCTCAAATTGAGAAAGTGACAGAAAAAAGTTCTCTCAGAACAAAAGCCAAAAAATGCAGGTTGTAAATAAGTGATAAAATAATTAAAAAGAGGGTAGTCACTCACTAAATCATACCCAGCAATTTTCCCGTTCTGACAAGGTTTTCAATCCATGTTGAGCGTTAGATAAGCTAGTGCCTACAGGACAGAAAATGTTTTGCTTAGTGTCGAAGCATAGAAAGTTACATACATACATACACATACAATTAAAATCTGTCTTGCAGTTTTATCCCAAAGAGCTAATAAATAGTTCAATGGGTAAAGCGAAACCACAGGTTTGCTCTATGAGGCATTTCCAACGATATGAACCTATAGGACAGGCTCCATCGGGATAGACCTCAACAGTTGTATTGTAATAAATATTGGATCCTTTCCCACTACAGCTTCTGCAATTATCCATATAGGACAAACTTTGCTAGTATAAGATATCCTGAAGAGCAACTTCAACAGAAAGGCCTCCTTCCATTTCTGATCTTTTCCCGTCATTTGATATAAAGTCTTCATCTAAGTCTACACAGCACCCAAAACTTCACTCATGTGCAGAGAAAGCACTCAAACTAAGCATTCATTCTATCACCAAATTAAACTACTTCTTACTAAGATTGAAATGCGTCTCAAATTGAGAAAGTGACAGAAAAAAGTTCTCTCAGAACAAAAGCCAAAAAATGCAGGTTGTAAATAAGTGATAAAATAATTAAAAAGAGGGTAGGTAAAACTTCCTACCTTATGAGCAGGCCAGCTTCTCATTTCTGGAGGAGGAAGCTTTTTTGTAACCCCTCGCCTTCCTTTCTAAATGTGTGCTCCACCTAAAGAGGTCACTTTTATAGCCACAGAAAAATAAACATATTTGAAGCAGCCATTTTTTAACAATTGGGTTGTACCAGCGTACATTTCAAGAAGCACAGGTCGTCTTTTTTGGGGGGAGGAGGGGAATCACTCATGCCACAAACATAGTTCTGATTCTAACACACCCTTAAGCCACCAATCAAGAACATGTCCCTAAAATAGAGCAAGCTGGATAAGAGCCACAGAACTAATATGTTCAGAAAGGCTGTCATCAGTCACTCTTTTTCAGAGCAGTTGAACATTTTGCCAATCATCATAACAGTTCCTCGACATTGTCTCTACATTCACCCTCTCCACAGCAAAAACAAACTCCAAACAAGTCCCACAATCCAAACTCCCTTTGCAAACTCCCACTCAAGCTCTGTTTTCTTGGCTTCTGTGCCGCTACAGCTATCTGTGCTACTGCCTGACTAGAAGGCTACCTTTATAGGACCCCTAATCAGAGAAGCTCCGCCCCCTAATCAGGGCTCAGCTTCTCTCCCAGCACATTGCCCCTCCAACAAAACTCCCACTCAAACTCCCCTGTTTACAGCTCTGTTTGCTTGGCTCCTGTGCCACTGCAGCTATCTTTTAATAAAGTAGTGTGGCACTTTAGGATACTAACCATTCATTTGAGGAGTCACATCAGCACTTCTTACCTAGACACAAAAGCATGGTTTGTGACCCAATGTTCCAGTTATTTTGACTCCCTGAAAATGAGAAAATTCATTTGTTACTCAAATGTCAGCTAAGTGGTAAATTTAGAGAGGCCAGGGGTTGTAATCTTATTACTCAATTTGCATTAAGTAGGAGGATGTGGTTCGCAATTACCCATTTACATTAGTTCCAAGCTGCAGTTCAAATGCTGACATTAAGCAATTAGATAAGAGATTTCTTTGCCCACTAAACTTAGCTACTGATGAAAGACAAGCTTTTAAGCTTACATGGAACTCTGTCTCATCAACAACCACCAAGTTGGTCCAAAAAAGATTACCTCATAAATCTTGCCCCCCTAGTACCGTATTTTCCGGCGTATAAGATGACTTTTTATGCTAAAAAACATCCCCCAAAAATCGGGGGTCGTCTTATACGCTGGGGCTTTTCTCGCCCCGGAGGACACAGACTGCGGGACTTCGCGGTCCCGCCGCCCGTGTACTCCAGGGCGAGAAA